GAAGGAAGTAGTCTGCAAGAATACTTTATAAATTACATAATACATATCGTCGTACTAATTCCGGAAAGACATAAGTACACTCGATTGTTAATTCCGAAACAATGCAAGTGCTCCCGAGGCATAATCTGGTGTACATGGCAATAAGATATCGTTACATAATAATATCTAAATATGTGCATGCCTAAACACTTCTACATACATACGTACGTACATACATGCGTAGAATTGAAACCCAAGGAAGTAGTCTGTAAGATTACATTACACAATACATAAATACGTAATTGACTTTGTTGAATTATTCGCGAAATATGTTCATAACCTTCCTAGAAATAAGTTGAGTCAAACAAACCAAAAATCTAGATTTTGGTCACGTACATATGTACATATTCTTTCATGTTGTATTATCCAGTCAAAAAATATATCTCACAATATCAATAGCTTACCGTCGCACTGAAAGAAAAACATGACGTAAAAATATTATATAAATTAATACATAATTGAAATAAAATCCGCCGAGTAGTATGCCTTATTGGTGCATTATGCATCAAAACCCCCAATTCTTTCGCATCATTTGGTGTTTCCGATTGTCAGATACCAACGGTGCTATTAATTTATGAAAAAATGGACCAGGGACATTTTAATTAGCATCAATCGATGCAAAAAACTCGTCAACAGACAGACGGACAGACGGACAGACGGACGGACAAGAGGAATTCAATAGCTCCCGTGCTACGCAGGGTGAGCTAATAATATAGGTAAATTGACCATTGAAATTTCCGCAGGATATGCATACATAATATGATTTACTAATATTTAGAATAATTCCGCAGTGCGAGCAGTACAGTATTAAAAATAATGTTACCCCGTGCAAAACTAATTGCGCTCACATGGAACTGTGATCACAGTTCCATAAGTAAGTATTAAGTAAACCATCATTAACTCATAGTCAGAACTTGATAAACAATAAAGTTTGGCCTGGTTTCCGTATAATTTACTTAATCTATATAATTCAGAGTGCATTGATTCTTCAAACGTGGAGCAGTATTTTTAAGAGTGTATAATTAATTATACAACTTACAAAAGTTTGGTCACGTACATACCTACGTGTTCTATTCGTTTAAAACATCGAGTTGAAAAAATGCCGGATTCCTTAGAGTTTTTCGCAATTTCGTTAAACTTTAAGTTAAATTCGTACCTCTGGGAAACCCCGTTAGGTTAGAATTTAAAGAAAAATCGCTACTTTTTAAAATATGGGGGAGGCAAGAGCTACTTTTTTTGGTGGTATTTCGTCACTTTTTTCCTCTACCTTTTCATGACAAATGGAATTTTGTGCGTTCCTCTTGTACGGACATCGGACCGGAAGTAGACCACCATTGTCGAACTCGCAGGGTGTCATCGTCCTTGGGGTTTTGATGACGGGAATCTTATTGGTTTTGGTGGTAACTGCATTTTCAATTTATTCGGGTCTCATCATCGCAATCCTGAACAACTTGCGAGATCTTTACGATGCCGTTATTATGTACCCGAGACCAGGTATTTACATATCCATGTGGATGTGGAATTTCAAAGGGTTTTTCTTATTTAATTTTGTATGTACTTATTAATCTAAATAGGAAAACTTGCAGACAAGCCGAAAGACACAATCATCTTTAAACGAGCATTTCCTAGTTTGAGATACAAGGATGGAACGTTGGATCGAATTGGTAAATATAGGGTCTCATTTAATGGGCCAGACTTTTAATTGAAATCACATAACTAAATATATTGAACTTCCATAACTTGAATTTCCAGTACTTTATATGCCTTAAAACAACCTCTATAACTGAATCCATCAGACACGAAATTTCATAACTTATGAATTCATTTATATGTAAAAATCTATCAAAATAGTTACTGTTCAGGTATCCCTTGCTCTTCTAATCAGTGGTAAACCATACAATCATAATCTAGGAGTGCACAGTAGTAGAAATCGGAGACACCAAGGAATTTTGCAACCACTTCACTGTCAGAAATCTGGTATACTCGGGCTGGTATTGATTTCTCGGTATTATAAAGTTGCTACCGCTTGGTATTAAAATCATACCGGTCTGTGATAATTTCCTACCGACATTGTAAAACTTTAATAACGAACTGTTATGTGTTACACCGTATTACTTATCAACACCACTTTGGTAGAATCATACATTTATGATAGCCTGGTAATGAATATTTGATTTTATTTGGATATTGGATTTCTAAGAGTGTTCGAAACAAAATTTGTTAACCAAAAGCATGGGGCCTAAGCTCCAGGATTCCCAAGCACAAATAATGTGCATAGTTAAATCAATCAATGAGAAATGAAAACACTTTTAGAAAACGAGTCCACTGGTGAGCTACATAATGGTAAGCCTCAAGCATATGAGCATTGTTGGACAGGGACTTCGTCTCGTTAGATTCCAAAATAATGCTCTACACCGACATATGACCTCGTTCCAACTTTAAACAAACTATGTAGGTTAACTGGAGTATTAACCGGAAACTAGTTCCTTTAAAAGTGAGAAGGGGTGCTGGGGACCGTTGTTTCCTACGGTCTAGGAATTGCAATAATTTGGAATGGTTTCAACGTCAGAGAGAGAGGAAGCCGTGACCGTTCCTGTTGGGATATTGAGCCTTCAGGGTCTGCCCTGCTAAGGCCGGTAGGCCGCCTACTTGTTGACAGAATTTGTTTATACAAAAATTCAAAGAAATAGCTCATGTTTTTCTAAGATTTCTAAAGGCAAATCTTCCAAATTGAATAAAATGTATGATTCAGAAAAGTCTGGCAGATTTCAATTTTACAGTTTTTAAATTGAATTAAAGCACTGGAAATTCAAGTTATGCGATTTCAATATATTTAGTTATGTGATTTCAATTAAAAGTCTGGTGGATTAAAAATAACCCGTAAATATATGTACATACACTCTTAGAAATCCGGTATAGTCACGCTGGTATTGATTTCGCGGTATTATGTAAAGTTGCTACCGCTTGATATTAAAATTATACCGGTCAGTAAAAACTTGAAACCAATATTGTGAAACTTTAATATCTACCTGGTTGTTACTAGGTACCTGGTATTATTTATCAATACCACGTCGGTAGAGTCATATGTGAATACCGCCTGGTATTATTTTAATATTGGATTTCTAAGAGTGTAGATTATGTACTTGATTACTTGGATTATCTCCAATTGATATTGGGGGTATTCGCAAATCCTTCATATCTTAATAAATAAGTTACGATGGTTTGCTAGATTTTGTAACCGTCGTATGATTTTATCGTCAAAAATTCCGGTACCAGGGTTACGATTTCTGACCTTTTTATTTTCTTCGTAACCTACGAATATTTTGCGATATTAAGACACCAAAATAACTGTAAATACCCTCAACATGTATATTTGTTCGTTTGTAAGTAGTATGTACATATATTCATGCCTTTATCTCTATAGGGTTACTGGCTCTTGTCGGATTGAATAGCTTGCCCTTCGTGCCACTACCGATGGTCGCGGGACTCATATTTGTAGCAAAAAGGGATGTTTACAACATCCTATTGCAAGGGGCCATCCTTGATCCACTGACACGTGGCATGGTAACAATTGCTGTCCGGTTCATTTTGTCATACGTCTTGTTTGCCGAATGCTATCGGACACTTCCCTTCCTCGTGTACATTTTGGCAATTCCGATCAACTTGATTCGCAGATGCGTGGCTACCTGGTCAACCCTGTCAATTAACAGGGTGTAAGTTCAAATTATTGTTAGAAATCTGGTATATTTGTATTCACGCAGCCAGGTATTGATTTCTCGGTTTAAAGCTTCTATCACTGGGTACTAAAATTGAACTGATCCGCCAAAATTTGCTACCGATATGGTAAAACTTTAACACCGAGCAATTACTACACGGAACTACTTATCCATACCACTTTGACAGAGTCATACATGATTACCGCTTGGTATTCTTTCTTCAATACTGAATTTTTATTTGTGTATGGAGTACAAATTTAACTATTCTGTATTTGCATAATTTTTTTTCTCTGCAGGGGACAGATTCAACAACCGCTCGCCCATTTCACACAAATGCAGCTAATCCACTCCGTCTTTCAGAGTCCGATAGCTTTTGCCGTATTTTCCTTAATGACGATGAGCGCCCTTCTGATAATAGTTACGGATGCCTCCGACTTATCCTTAGCGTGGAAAAACTTGGTCACTTCTACTTTCTCTATCCGATCCTATTTGTTCTCATCGTGACCCTAATTCTCCTCCTGCTTCCGAGAACGATTGATATCCACGAAAAGGCGAAGCTTCTTCTCTTCGAGTGGGGGAAACTGGCGGGAAATAATAAATACTTGAAGAAGAAGTTGAAGGCAATCCGCCCCTTTCGTTATTATGCTGGGGTAAATTCGTACTATTTCTACTACACGGACAAGAGCTTGCTGACAACGTATCTTTTGTCCGTTGTGGACAGCACGACGAGCATGCTGATCACCTTCAACTAATTAAGTGGAAATGCTCGAAAATTTGTTACACACAACTGACCATATCAAAGTTGACATTGACACGATTGAAGAGAAAGGTGGACTATGCTTAGGAAATTTTAACGAATTAAAAGAGTAAGTTCACGTAGAAAACTGGGACGATAATAAATCAATAATACATGTAAGTGTTCACATGTTTGCAAATTGTTCATGAAATATACGTTTCAATTGGCCATGCAATTTTGTTTAGACACCTAAAAACTTATCATTTTATATATTCATGAGGACATAAATATGAAGGATATGATTTCGCTTGAAATATCTACCTGGATCGAAAAATCTACAATACATATTTTGCAGAGTCAGAGGTTTATTTTGTCAGCCGATCTAGGTATATGGAAGAATTCGTAATAAGTTAGACGTATTGGAAAATATGTGTCACGAATTGGAAGTAAAAGTAATGCAAGAAAGGAAAACGTCACCATTGAGACAAGCTGATATTTAATTAAGCATAATGGAGCTCCGGTTACTTTCCAATTCGTGGCAGCGTGGCATGTTGTCGCGGCGCTTAGGATCTTCCCGATTGATGCATCGCGAACCAGTTGACAAAGCCAGGACACACGTCGGCGGTATAGAAGAAGAGGGATGAATAACGTGGTAAAAAGTGGGAGGAGAACGAGGACATAAATGCACAGAAATGGAATCACAATTGCCCGTAACATTCTTTGTGAATTTACTTTCCAGATAGATTTTGTGTCCTTGATGGTTCTAGAGTTCAAACAGTAATAAATAACTTGTGGGTGGTCAGAGTCCGTAAAATATGGATATTCCTACTCGTTTTGTATAGCACTTACATAGGTATCTAAAATTGTAAAAGTGTAGCACTATTCTGCATGTTCCCACGTGCTAATATTGTGACTGGATATACATACATTAATACGAGTAATTACGCTTTGATTCCCACGGGCTTGCAATCCTACTTGATGCCAATACCGAAGTAAGTTTGATACATTGATAATTTTTTTTCGGAGACTATTAAATAGGAATTGAATATCTAGTTCCTTTACTTCTGCGTGTATGGAAGTACATTTTTGCAGTAAATCTAGTTTAATGAGTAGGGATTTACTACCCAGTTATTTTTATCATGTCAAATATCTATGTATATTTCGCTGGAATACCTAAATATGTAAATACATATGTATTTATTTATTGCACATGGCTTATTTATGCATATGGATTATTAAAATGTGTAACGATTATTTTCAGGATAATAAATAAAGCAGTGATACAATAAATATCGTTGCAGGCGTCCAGGCAACTTAAACACTTATTCTTGTAATTTATTAGTATTTCTACAACGCTCCCATTATTCTTGTCCACTTAATTAGCATGTGTCTATTTGCGAAATATTGGTTGCGAAACTGAGCAATTTTGTTTCCCACGAGTTAGATATACTTACAAAGTTTTCTTCCAGCACGTGCATAATTAATTAACGATACGATTGTAATTTAATTGTTGGTTTTGATGACCAGTACAATTCGAGATGAGCTGCTTATTGCGCGTGGTAATTTTCATCGCAATTTTACTCGTTTTCCCACTTGCCTCCTCCGCCAGCAGGATCCTGTTCCTTCTCCCGCTGTCATGTCGTAGTGAGGTCAATTCCATTCACCCCCTTGCTAAGGAATTACTCTTAAGGGGGCATCATGTCACGTGGATCACTTCCCTTAAATCTGACCTTGCCGGGAATCACCCAAATTATACAGAACTTGTCCCTATCCCACCACCCGATGTGGAGGATTATGTCGGTAAGGGTTTATTCGCCACTATTTAGAAATGCACTCCTAGAAATCTAGGATTAAACTAATACCAAGCGGTAGCAAATTTAATACAGAGAAATTAATACTTGCATGACATTAATTTGTTTGTAAAGAAGAACTGATACATGACATGACACATTTTTTAAACGCAAAGTTGACAGGATAGGTTCTCCTTTAAAAAATAAAATAATCTGCATACAACAGTTATAAATTTCTAACATTGTAAAAACAACATTCGGAGATGATTGATTCTACAACAGGTACTTGCCAGCTCGGTTGTGCAGTGTGAGTGGTTGCTAAAACATTAGAATTTCGCGGAGTATGTATTTGTATGTGTTATATATTTATCTAACTAATAAACAAAATTTCGTTTGAACAAAAATAATAAACAATAAACAACATTGAGATTTTAACGAAATTTTCTGTCTTTGTCTTGATTCAGGGGCCGGCTCGATTTTGCAACACCGTGCCAAATATGTTCACTACATCCCGCACCTCTTATCCTGGAACCTTACTAGACTAGCGGCCCGCTGTAACGCCGTCTACAATAATCCCACCTTCCAACAAGTCATATTTTCTCCTTCCGCCAATTTCGATTTGGTCATAATTAACGGAAACTTGCACCATTGTCTGATCCCCATCATCTCCGTCCTCCTCCCGTCACCCCCGCCGTTCATCGCTTTCACAACGACCCCCTTCACCGGAGACGAAATCAGACTGACCGGGTTGCGACAACCGGCTTCGTTCGTTCCCTCGTCCATCTTACCATTCACGCAGGATATGACCTTTGGCCAGAGATTGTTCAATTTTATCAATAGGCTTATATTCACCTTCGTATTTACGGGGTTCATCGAACATGGCGCAGAGTCTACGAGTGCCCCGCATTTGCTCAATCGGACCGCGGGAGGAGGTAAACTTGTTCCAATTTCCAGTATTCTGGCAGATGTTGCCATGGCGTTTAGTAATTCGCATCCCGCCCTGACAAGTCCACGGCCCTTAACACCAGATATTGTAGAGGTGGGGTGTCTCCACTGTCGGGAAGGGGTCTCAGTGCACCCCGAGGAATTGAATGATTGGATCGAAGAATCTCCTGAAGGGGTAGTTCTATTCAGTATGGGGTCAATGTTTAGCGTCCCGCCACAACTTGTGAAATTACTGATGGAAACTTTCGAAAGGCTGAATCCGATTAGAGTTTTAGTCGTTGGAATAGCGGGTATTAAAGTACCGAAAAATGTAAAAGTGGTCAAATGGATTTCCCAACAGGACGTCTTAGCTCATAAAAAGTTGCGACTGTTCGTGTCACATGGAGGAATGCATTCATATTTTGAAACAGCATTTCACGCCGTTCCTGTCGTATTTTTACCAATATATGCGGATCAAGCCTTGGCAGCAGCGCATGTGCAAATGATTGGGAACGGAAAGGCGGTAGAAATTTTGGATGTGACAGCGGCTAGTTTAGAAGGTGTGATTAGGGAGGTGCTTAATAACCCGAGGTAATTTAAACCCAAGGAATTTTTAAATATTTTGAATACTTTATATGTAAATGAATCTCATTCACAGATACAAAGCCAAAGCGCACGAATTGTCCGTTATATTCAAAGATCAGCCAGAAACTCCGCTGAAAAGAGCGGTGTTTTGGACCGAGTATGTGATCCGGTATAAGGGTGCTAACCATTTAAGATCCGCAGCAAGAAATCTGAGCTACTTGCAGTACCATGATATTGATTTGGTCGTATTTATATTTACGATTTTCATGTTCTTAGCTTGGATACTTGTTAAGTGTAAGGAGAAATGGTTGGTGGGTTATTGTTGGATTGGTGTACTTATCATGCTACTTGTTTCGCGGCTGATGGGGTATAATTTTATAAATTTATCCATTAATTAGATGTGCATGCATGCACATTTATTTGTGCCCTTCGATTTTTCTTTGAGTCTGAATTTTTTAGATGAAGGTTCAGACTTTTTTAAGAATACAGAACTCTAATGTTCGACTCCTTTGTTGTCAGGCTTTCCAAAATGTAATATTAATGTTGTATGATTGAATTTGTAACGATGATGAGAAAGATATGTACGTATGTACAAATAAATGTAATATTCTTTCCGATGGGAAGACGAAGATACGTATTATTCAAAAACATAACTTGTCCTGTTTTTCATTGTAATTGAAAAAGTAATTTTCATTTTACATAATTTTTGAAGAATTGTTTTTTCTCATATTAAGCCTTATTTCTAGTACAGTAATACAAAAGCTGATTATGCGGACATATCTACATTAGCTCTCTAGATTCAAAAATGACCCGACCATTGACCTTAGAGTAAGAGGGTACCATAAAAACACTTTCCAAACTTAATATTTCGTACACAGACATAATTAACCACTTTGAGACTCAAGGACAACAAGTTTTGAAAGGAAGGATACATAAAGTACTTAAAAAAGAAGGTCAATAACGACAAGCTCGTACCACAGGACAACCATCATGCCTCAAACACGAGTCCGAAAAGTGCTACTTCGGCCCATGCTTAAGAAAATTGACCTATTGACCTCTGACGACAACCCACCGCCCCAGAGAGCAGTGGCACGTCTAACCAAAGTGTCAGAGACTAGTGTGCGACGAGCAATTAAAATTTTGGGGAAGCAAAAAAGAAGAAAAATGCAAGTCAATCAGCTGACTGAGAAGCATAAATAAAATCGTCGTCTGACCTGCAAAATAATTTATGTGAATTACCTGACAAAAGATAAAAGTGACTGTTTAGTGTCGTTGGATGAAGAATTATTTTCTTTACAAGATACCAACGGTCAGAGACAAATTTACTATACAACCAAAGGAGAAATTAATTCCAGAAGATTGGCCATCCCGCACACGGAAATGTTTTGCAACAAGTTCATGGTGGTTGGTGCATTATCTGGTCGTGGTCTCCTCCCACTTATCAAAGTTCCACAAAAATGAAGGTACTGCGAAGTACTTCATTGACTTTGTTTTAAAACCGCTTTTGGAGATTCATCTTCCAAAACTATATGGCTAGGACACAAATAAAGTGATAGTTCATCACGACGCAGCGTCATCGCACACCGCCCTTTTGACCCAGGATTACGCCAAGGACAAGCTAGACTCGGGATAACAATCATCCAAAATAGTGAAATACCTGTTAATTCACCCTATGTAAGTCCCATGGATTTTTTCGGCTTTGGATATCTGAAATAAAATCTTTTCTTCGCCACCCAAAATGTTTTGACGGAGTTTAGAAAGTTTTGAGAGACTAGTAGTCTAAAGTTGACCTCACCATGGTCAAATCAGTGTACAAAAGTTGGAATCGCCGATGTCGACTTGTAGTTCGAGAAAAGGGCTCTCACATAAAACATGTTCGGGACCTCCACTCCAAGCCGTTCAACCAGTAATTTAAGGTCATAAACGTTCACGTGTTAGTCGCGGAGCCTCCGTAGTTCAACAAGGTTTTCGAAGTTGCACTATTTTTTCAATACCCTAAAGGTTCCAATGGTTAAAGCGCATTTCTCTGCCTTAGTGTCAATGGTTAGTTGGATATTATCATGTGGATCTATGTAAGAAATCTCCTCGAGCAGAGATTTCCTCTCCTGATCCGGCAAGACTTTACAGTCACCTATCAAACTTAAAGAAATAATGTCGTAGGACGAATAAAGGCAAATCTAAAAGCTGCGAAATATTAAATTCATATGTTTCAAAATTATTTCGCGAATTTCATTTCAAAAGGCACACTCTTAGAAATCACTTATTAAAATAATATCAAATTGTATTCATGTACTACCGTGCACTATTGGCTAGGTATTAATATATTACCGTATCCGTAGCACATTTTTACGGACCGATACAATTTTTTCCCCAATGGCTGAACTTGTTGAACTTTGAACAGTGCTTTGTTTTCTAATTTGGTACGCAAGTAATTTAAGGAAAACTTGCCGACAAGCCGGAAGCCAAAATTATCTTTAAACGAGCATTCCCAAGTTCACATTTTCACCTAGCAATATATTTATTTGCAGAGCTGGGAATCAATCCGGATTAGTCAATGTGTTTAAATGGCCAATCCCCAATCCCCAATCCCTCTATTCTTTAACATTGGGTAATCCGGATTGATTCCCAGCAAATAAATTATTTGCGAACAAAATACATATACACACATGCATTTACTACACGCTCCAATTAGTGTATTTTTTACGCCGGTCTTTCCCACTTGTTTTGTAAATTATTGGCATACATGTCTCATAAACTATTGTTTCATTACTAAAGAAGTGAATATCCTTTCGAGCTGCTGGAATATTTATGCATTGACCACGTATGAATGCACGTAAATATGTATGCAAATACTTGTGTACATACATACGCACATATGTATATTTATATGTACATACGTACATACAGATGTCTTTCACATCATATAAGTAATTTATTATACTATTTGCATTGTATTGTGTATATTATATAGATTTATGGAGGCAAGCGAATGTAGGGGTATGTACATAAATCGTTATACGAAATGGAAGCTAGGAAAATATTTGCATATTTAGTATCGTGAGTCAATAAAATAAAATTAATTGGAAACGTAAACCTGCACTCCTTACACCGGACTAACTACAAATTCCTGCATATGAAAAGATACATACATACACAAGTACATATATCCAGGAACGAGGAATTGGATTCGCATTAGTCGCCGGCAAAAATTATCACTGCACATATCAAACTTAACATCAAAGAGGATTGCACACAAGCCCGTGGGAACCAAAGCATGATTTCTGGAATACCCAGACACAATATTAGCAAACGTGCTTATGGCTATTCGTGCCATATAAATTTACATATATACGCACATATGCACTATAAATCCATATGTATGAATTTCTCATTCCGGCTTCACAAACGTCAGCGTTGAACACTCGCATATTTATGTAATTATATCAATGCGAAATAAAACTAGTGAGAATATACAAATACATACATATAAATACTTATTTCACGGATTCCGATCATAGAATTTACTTATTTACTTATTCTTGTTTCAACCACAGAACACTCAAGGACACGAAATTTCGTTGAAAAATATATTGGCAAACCAATGTATCGCGCACTTATTATTCCATTTCTGTACATTTGTGTCCTCATACTCCTCCCACTGTTAATCACCTTGATCACCCCTTTTCTAATATACCGCCGAATTGTGGCCCGCCTTTGTCAACTTTTTGGCGACGCTTCAATCGGGAAGATTCTAAACGCCGCGGCAACATCGCACGCTTGTATTGGCGGGAAAGTGAGCAACATCCTTCCCATAACGGTGGAGGGGGTTCCAGATCTTGCCCATATTAAGGCACAGTTCACTGAAAAAATTTTAAATGCAAAAGATCCCGCTACTGGTGATGGGCCACTTTACCCCGAACTTAGTCAAACTATCGTTTCCTGGGGCGGGTATTTCTTTTGGGCAGATATTCCCAACTTCACCCTGCCCATCCGATTATTGAATATCGATCCGATCGATATTGACTCCAACGAAGGGATAAATTTGCTACGGAATTTGTACAACAGAGAGTGGAAATTTGGACAGGAAGCGTTCTGGGAGTTGGTAATCGTTCCCGGCGTCGGGGGGAAATTTTGCCTCGTTTTCGTAACTCATCATGCACTCGGGGATGCCTTATCGGTGAAAAAAATGTTGAATAAAGTTTTCCAACCCCCAATTGTGGAGGAGAAGGTCAAGTTTTCCACGCCGGAACGTCAAAACACTGTAGTTTCTTTGGTAATTTTGCAAAGAATTAGTTTTGTAATCGTATTTTGCAGTATTATTCTTTTCTTTAGGTAAAAACCATGCTTAAAATTCCATACGACTTCTCCATTTATTTGGAGGCACTTCTGAGAACAACAATATTACGACGCGGTGGACAAGTTCCAAATTCAGGGAATGTTCCCGTGATGGACAAGCTCAATTTGGGAATGACGATATGCACAAAATCAACAAATTTAGCAACAGTGAAAAAAATTGCGGCGGGTCATTCGGTTTCTGTGAGTGCAATATTAATTTCTGCAGTTCAAGGGTCAATCCAAAAATGCGGAGATGCCAAAGGGCTTTTGTACCTTCCGCTGCCAACAGCAGTTCATTCGGAGAAATTGAGAAATGTCGGGTACGTATGTATGTACATGCATTGTTAGAAATTTAGTATCGAAATAATTCCAAGACGTATTCGTATACTTAATCAATATTGGAAAGTATCTAATGCCGTCTAGTACCACCTCGGTATTAGAGTTTTATTATATCCGTAACAAGATTTTAATGCAACGGCATATATAAGTTTAGTATCAATAGGTAGCAATTTTAGTATCAGTAGCAAATTTAGTATCAATAGGTGGGGGTGGAATTATAAATGCTGTAGTTTTGACGTGCCATGAGCGTGTGTCTGACTGTGTCGTTTCACCCCTTTGCTACATTTAGTTTGCAAGGGTTTATTTTTAATTGCGTATAACTTTATATTTTATTTTTATATAAGCAACAAATGATGTTAAAAATGTTCACTAATTTCAATAATGTCTTATTCATCCTCAGAGGGATAGGATACATCGAACTTTTACAAAATGGTAATGGTCGCGAAAAGCTTGAACGGACAGAAGAACAATTACGACAAATCAAATCCTCCACGTTTCCTTGGATGTCCACCTTCACTGCGAATTTAACCGGCTCTCTGCCACCGTTTCTATTGCGAAGAACGATTCGTGGAGCTGCAACCGCGGAGAATTTGAGAACCTATGCAGCCTCAATATTTGTCGCATGGCGGCATCCGACTAGTCTTTTTGGGTATCCCGTTACTAAAATTGGATCGGTAGGATCTGGGTTAGCAGGCACCAACGGTTAGTCCAATTTGCATGTATGCACTCTTAACAATGATCCAGAGTGTAGTCGGATCGATGTTTTCAAATATCCGATCCGATCCGACTTGGTCCGATCCTAAAAAATCCGACCCAATCCGAGTCTGTCGGATTGGATTAATCCGATTAAATCCGATATCCTACTGCTCTCTATAGTGTAGTCGGATTGATGTTTTTTGAAATCCAATCCGACCCGATCCGAACTTGGTCGGGTCATAAAAAATCCAGTCCGATCCGATCCGACTTTATTGGGCCAGAAAAAAATCCGATCCGACCCTGTCGGATTCGGATTGGATAATCCGGTTAAGTCGGATATCCGACTACTCTCTGCAATGATCCAATTTAATGCATATTCATTCTTAATGCTTTTCAAAGTAGCAATTATGCACTCTTAAAAATGCCCTTTTGAAAAGTAGTTGCAATCCGAATTCTATATATGTTAAGTATTTAATTATCTGTGTACTAAATCCATAGTAGTGTTACTTTGTTATCAAGCTAACATTATTCTGAATTTAGTGCAGCTTGCGTACTTAATACCAAATTTAGAGTGCATTTACTGTTCAAAATGGTAGAATCATTGTTAAGGATATGTTATGAAATGAAATTTCTGAAATAATTTATGAAAATCTTTTTTTATTTTTTTTGCAGCGGTCGCATTTTTTATGTTTTCGTCGCACGACATGATTTGTGTAAGTGTGATGGGTGACAGCAAAATCTTGTCGGAACGGGAGGGGACATCTCTGCTCGATGGGATGTTGGGGGAAGTGGAAATACTCGGGAATTTGTTAGACACACCTGGCCATATCAAAGTTACGATTATGTAATAGCTAAGGCTTATTAAGCTTAGGAAATTTTGACGTATTAAAAAAATAGTACAATTACAAAAACTTTAATGATAATTAATTAAGAATAAGTATCCCCATTCTGTAAATTTTTCATTAAACACAACCTTCGCATTGATCGAAAAATTTAGTAAATTCATCGTCTTTGGCAATGGATTATGAAAATTGATATTTTTGAAGGGAGTTGTGTTCCTGAACTTCCGTCCAAATATGACATGTAATTTTGATTAGAAACCAATTAGCCAGATTAAATATTCATGATGGGAAAATATTTCTCAAACGTATCGACGATTACATTAGGTAAATTATATGCTTATACAACCAATCAAGATACATGGAATAATGATAAGATGAAAATTATATATGTATGTAACGAATTGTAATTCAAGATAAGAAAATTTCAACATTGAAACAAACCGATATAATTAAGCATAATAGAGCTCCGGATCCTTTCCAATGACGGGAACATAGCCCGACTCATATTGTCCGTGCCATCCGATGATGGGTTCCTAAATCTACGTTATAACTGACCATGTAATTTTGTTTAGAAACCTACTTATCACATTAGATTTTAGATATTCATAGGGAAATGTGAAAGACATGATGAAGCCAAATTAGACTAACTCAGTAAATAACAACTCGGTTTCAAAATGTTCAATATTTTGCTCAATAAAGTTACAGATTTATTTTATCAACACATGAAGACACAAAGAGTAATATGTAATAAGGTAGAAGTATTGAAAATTGTTCATGCAACGAATTGGAAGTAATGCAAGAAAGGAAAATTTCACCATTGAAATATTTAAAGTGACATAATTAATCAAAATGAAACTCCGGTTCCTTTCCAATAACGGGAACATAGCCCGACCCATATTGTGCGTGACATCCGATAATGGCCGACCGAAAAACTACCGCCCTCTCTGCCATCTCTCCCCCTCCAGAAATGCAGATAGGAGTTCCGGTGAAATTGTCATTGGAGTACAGTGTCCAGGTTGAAGTACCAAAAGCCATCGCGTAATTAGCTATATACCCAAAATTATTTGCAGCCCCTGTCGTAAAGATTTCTTCTCTGCCTGCTGCACCACCAAACTCGTAAACAGCAAGGGCGGGGGTGGCAGACTCCAGGGGACCAGAGAATCGTAGTGACTTTGAGGATCGCACCGCCGACGTAGTGTTAACACAACTTGGCGTGGGCCTCTAACCCGTGCCCTATGTGTAAGGATTAAATTCTGTTCCGCTATAGAATCGCCACCTATTAAGCGCAGAACAAAATTATTGGTAAACAGGTACATACATACCTACAAACCTATTTTACGTATGAACATTATTCTCCTTATGATACCAGAGGGACACAGAACAGACCAACGGGTGGGGGATAGTGTTATAATTTTAAAATGTTTTTCATTTGCCACATTTCCGCAATTTATTTCCTCAAAAATGAATTCGCTATTTTTTTCAAATCAATTCTGGTACCAAAATTAAAATTATCGCAAAACCAATCAACTTGATGCTGTTTTTGAAATTTGCTAATTGTTTAGACAGTTTAAATATTATTACATGGCAAATACAACATTCGTCATTTTATGAAACTTTGACAATCCCACTTACCAGCCATGAGCCTTCCAGGATTGCACCGATGGAAGAAAGAAGTCCCAATTGGTCAAGTTTGCCTCTTTGGTTTGGAAAGTTACCGCGGGTCCGGCGCAATTAAGTCCCTGGTAGAGGGTTAGCTCCTGTATAAATCCTGTGCACCCAGCTACTAGCAGGATCGCTGTGAAAACGGTTTTGTCCATTGTGGATCTCATAATTTGAAGAGTTTGTTCGACTTTGGGTTTTTAGGTGAATATGTACTACCTGGTGTGAGGTGACGAGCATTTTATACAAAGTTTAGAGGTAGGCCTTCTGCGTCAAAAGTTTGCTTTTCGCACGTATCCATCATCCAAGGTCTCTCAAAACGTTCCAATTTCAGTTAAAAAAATTATCGAGATCCGATACCACTTGAGTAAGTTGTATAATTTTAATTGAACATGTTAAATTTTTGATTATGTAAAATTATCCAATGGAGAACCAGTGTTTGGCATAATCTATAACGTGGAAAAGCCCCAGTGGGAAAAATTGATGTGAGAAATGTATTTTGCAATTATATTTGAATTTGCTTATGCGAACATTTTTGATTTAGGGATCTCTTATTCATAGCTTTACATATGTCAAAAAGCCTTGATTTCTTTCACCGGTTTCACAATTCTTGCACTGAATGGAAAGAAATGGAAATAGGGGCAAAAAATTCAAGAAATATGCACCAGCCTTTTCGAAGGCTAACAGAAAGCTTTATAATGCGCATAATTGTTAGGATTGTCTGGCAGATGATGCATTTTTCTGGAATTTCTTTCTAGAATTATGCCTGCAAAAACACAATTTCTTGCAGCAAGGTAACCCACGTGTTTTTGTCACACAAACATCGCCAGTAAGGTATTCAATACTGGGTCTACTTTGTATGTTTCTACACTGTATTGCAGCCAGATAAATTGGCAGAATATTGCAAACTTGCGATAAGCAAGAATTTCCAGGAAATCTAAATGATTTTTCAATTATCTGCATATGTATGTCGGTACATCCTGTTAAACGGTTGATGAGAGTAGGAGATAAAATATGCAGATTTAAAACTGCGCCATATCACGAAATGATTTTAATTGAAAAACGTTTGCTTTGTCGGTCAATTGTCTGGTGGTGATATGCTGACAAAAGAAATGATTATGTTATCATAAACAGATCATTGTCGGCGAAAACGTTTCCGGTGTTTTTTCAATTGATTATACATTTATTGTATTTATCATCATGAAAATAATCGCTACAAATTTTATTAAGATGCGACAATAAGTAAGATTAATTTTATAAAAAAAATCTGCAATAGTAAATTATGATGCATTTATACACCTGTTTATCAAGTTTACATGTGTACAGATTTATTTAGTTCATATGTGTCCAATTTATTGATGTATCTATGTTAACTTCCATTTATGCAACTGGTGCAAGTTCTGATAATAAGATACATGGAGTAGCTATGGACATATATGTAACTTATAACTTAAAATTATGACGTATGACCTGTTTTATAAGTTATACATAAGTAATAGAAATGCCATATGTTAATGTGCATTTATAATTATAAATTAAGTCATACGTCAAAATTTTAAGTTATAAGTTTTGCATCCATGGCTGCCCCATGTATCTAATATAAATATACGTACATATTAATAAAAATTTTAAATAGTCAGCCAAATATACTTTCTGAATATTTTTTAATGTTTCCGCACATCTGCATATTTATTTAGCTATACATATTTGCAGTCCAGTAAATACATGCAAAACCGCAGTTGATTAAGGGACATATTCACATATGAAAAAATGTCAGAAGTAAGAATAATTAATATTGAGGCTTGACAAGTTTTTCGGATTCCATGCACTATTTTTTCACCGGGAAATGTGGATGATTTGAAGTTTCGTAATTGTTCTTCAGTTCGTTCAAGTTTTTCACGACGGTTTCCATCTTGCAAAAGTTCGGTGTACCCCATAGCACTGAATTTGACAAAGGATAATTTTTGAGCATTAATTGTTGTGCTATTTTCAACTATATAATTTTTAGACGGTATATGTAATCCTTTCGGATCGAATAATCCGGCCGGTTGCTATTTGGATCATAATCGATCCGATTAGGGAAATCCATCGGATAAAAAAATCCGATCTGACCTTATCGACTTGGATCCACTTACCAACACTGTTTATCTTTTACCATACCTGACATTTCTCAATTTCTCCGGATGAAAATCTGTTGGTAGCGGGAAGTACAAAAGCCCTTTCGCACCTCCACATTTTTGGATTGACCCTTGAACCGCGGAAATTAAGACGGCACTCGCAGAAACAGAATGACCCGCCGCAATTTTCTTCACTACTGCCAAATTGATTGACTTTGTGCAAAGCGTCATTCCCAGACTTTGCTTGTCAATCACAGAGACGTATTCTGATCTTGTTACTTGTCTACCGCTACGTAATATCTTTGTTCTGAAAAGTACTTCTAAATAGGTGGAAACGTCGTATGGGATTTTAACCATGGTTTTTACCTGCAAAAATACAAAAATACTGCGAAATATGATCAAAAAGATGTGAATGGGAGGGAGGGGGGGGGGTCTAGACAAGCGCGATTTTTGCGTGACAAAATTTATGGATCTCCCCTTACCAAATTACATACCAGGGAAACTACAGTTTCCCGTTGTTCCGGCTTGGTAAGCGTCACCTTGTCCTCCACAATTGGCGGTTGGCTAACTTTATTAATCAACTTTTTCATAGAGAAGCCATCCGCTAGGGCGTGATGCATTATGAAAAGGACGCAAAATTTCCCCTCAATCCCGGGAACTATGACCAACTCCCACAGCGCTTCTTGGCCAAATTTCTATTCCCTGTTGTACAAAGTCCGTAGTAAACTGATTCCCTCGTTGGAGTCAATATCGATTGGATCGATATCCAATAATCGGATGGGCAGGGTAAAGTTGGGAAGATCTGCCCAGAAGAAATACCCTCCCCAGGAAACGATAGTCTGACGGAGTTCGGGGTAAAGTGGTCCATCACCAGCGGGATCTTTTGAATTTAGAATTTTTTCGGCGAACTGTGCCTTAATATGTGCCAGATCTGGAATCCCTTCCACCGTAAAGGGGATTATGTTGCTTCCTGTCCTGCTAATGCATGCGATGTTGCCGCGGCGTTTAGGATCTTCCCGATTGATGTGTCCCCAAACAGGTGACAAAGGCGGGACACGATTTGGCGGTATATTAGGAAAGGGATGAACAGTATAATGAAAAGTGGAAATAGTATTAGCACACAAATATAGAAAAATGGGATCACAATTACGCGAAACATTGTTTCGCAAATTTGTTTTCCAGGTAAATTATCGTGTGTCCTTCATTGTTCTGAAGTTGAAACAGTAATAAATAACTTGTGGGTGGTCGAAATCCTTGACATAAGGATATTCTCACTCGTTATACATACGTATTTAGCATTTACGTATCTAAATTTTTAAAGCAGACTTTTGTAAATCAGGGATTATCTATGCTTATTCGTTAATTGTTCACGTGTAGCAGGAATGGGTAGGAGCACACCTGCTATTTAATATTGTGACTGGATATTCATAAATACAAATAATTACACTTTGATTCCCACGGGGTTGTGTACGCGAGAATCCTCCTGGATTTTGGAATTGATGCATCGATAATTTTTTTCAACCACTATTAAACAGGACTCGAATATCTACATAGTTCCTTAACTTCTGCCTGTATGCTGGAACATTTTTGTAGTCACTAAAGTTTAACGAGTGGGGATTTTACTGCCCAATTATTTCTATCGTGTTGACTACATTTCATCAAAATACACATACTAAATATGTACATACATACATTCGTGAATATCTGTCTGTCCTGATTATTTCTTTATATTTATTCATGCACATGATATTTATTACGTGTGCACATATGTAAATATCTAAATCAATATCCCGAGTACTAAAATTCGCTGGCCCTAAGGTACAAATACATATATGTGAAAATTATACTATAAATCGAATAAATGTAGAAGTATAATTTGCACTCCTTTAAATTTAATAAGCAAGTACATAAATACTCTTTACCATTATATATGCACTTTCGTGTGTAGTTTATCGATGCGCAATACATAAATATGTGTGAGAGAAACTCTCCAGAAAAAATTATTCTTGTGATGCAGGTACATTTATAATGAAAGTCGGCTTATTTCGCCATATTAAAATTTGTAGCAATTATTTTATTCTGATAGATAAAACGATAAATAAAGGTTCGCAAGTTAAATATGTTCCACATATATTTACGACCAAGCTTGCATATGTCTGACACTTGAATTTTAACAATGTTTAACTAAATATGTTGAAAAAAATAAAACAATTTCTTCCAGACCTATTTAAATAAGTACTTAACAGCGTTATAAAAGTTCACTCATTTCATACCACGTGATCTGTAAATATCGGTATCACTATATACATACATATAAATACAAATTGGTTCAATGATTTTACTGTTATCGGTATTTCCACACCGTTCACACCAGTCTTGAGTGTGCATATTTAGCAAGCGTATATGTATCTATTCTTGAAGTGTATGTATGTAGGTTGCGAAACTGGATAATTTCAGTTCCCACGAGGTAGAAGAATTTATGGGAACGTGCATACATAACGTATGCAAAAGGTGACGGGGTGCTTTTTACATATCGTCTCTGTATGAAGCAACTTAACATGGCTATAATGTGGAAAGGGTGATGGGTAGTCTAAAAATCGGAGTTTTTTGATAACGCTATATTTGCAAGTTCTCAACAGTTTTTTAGCAATAATTCAGCATTGAATATTATTCAATCATTAAATTTTTATTGTCAGTACAAATCGAGATGAGCTGCTTGTTGCGAGTGGCCATTTTGATCGCGATTTTGTTCGGCTTCCCACATCCCTCCTCCACCAGCAGGATTCTGTTCCTTCTCCCGCTGTCATGTCGTAGTGAGGTCAATTCCATCCACCCCCTTGCTAAGGAATTACTCTTTAGAGGGCATCATGTCACGTGGATCACTTCTCTTAAATCTGAGCTTTCTGGAAGTCACGAAAATTATACGGAACTTGTTCCCATCCCACCACCCGATGTGGAGGATTATGTCGGTAAGGATTTATTCGCCACTGCAAACATTTTAAGAAATAAGCAATGTCGAATTGTTAATTTTACCAATGCCTTGTTACCAGTTTGTTTGTAGGTTGTGACGAACTAATTTAATTTTGCAAAGTAGATACTTATTGTGCATGTATCAACCAAAACATTGGGTCTCCTAGCATACAATGTTCTCCGATTTCGACCAAACCAATGTCAATCGCTCACAAGTTTAATTAATACAATATTTGCAACAGACATTTTCTGCGAATGAGCAGTTTTGGCGAAGATATTTGCATAAGCGAAACCCGGTGTTAAAGCTGAAAAATTTTATACTTTCCTAATATACAAAGATATGTGATCGATTGATACAAGTTTGTCGAAGTCGGAGGGTAAATGTTTGGAGATGTTATTTGTATGCCCAATTTGGTGCCAATATAAAAGATTTTAATGAAATTTACTGTCTTGATCTCGATACAGGAGCCGCTTCAATTTTGCGACACCGCGCCAACTATGTTCACTTTATCCCGCACCTCTTATCTTGGAACCTTACCCGACTGGCGGCCCGCTGCAACGCCGTTTATAGTGATCCCACCTTCCAAAATGTCGTATTTTCTCCTACCGCCAACTTCGACATTGTCATCATTAACGGCAACTTACACCATTGCCTGATCCCCATCATCTCCGTTCTCCACCCGTCACCCCCGCCATTCATCGCGTTCACTACAATCCCGTTCACCGGGGAAGAAATTAGACTGACCGGATGGCGACAACCAGCATCCTTCGTCCCCTCATCTAATTTACCGTTCACGCAGGATATGCCTTTTGGCCAGCGATTGTTCAATTTCATCAATAGGATTGTATTCACCTTTGTATTTACGCGATACATCGAACATGGCGCAGAGTCTACGAGTGCCCCGCATTTGCTCAATCGGACCGCGGGAGGAGGTAAACTGGCGCCAATTTCCAGTATTCAAGCCGAGGTTGCCATGATGTTTAGCAACTCGCATCCCGCCCTGTCAAGCCCACGTCCCTTAACGCCGGATATTGTGGAGGTCGGGTGTCTCCATTGTCGTGAAGGGGTCTCAGTACACCCCGAAGAGCTTAATAACTGGATGGAAGAATCTCCTCAAGGGGTGGTTCTATTTAGTATGGGGTCAATGTTTAGCTTCCCGCCAAAGCTGACCAGATTGGTAATGGAAACGTTCGAAAGATTGGATCCAGTTCGAGTTTTAGTCGTAGGAAGCAAAATGGCGGGAGGTAATAAGGTGCCGAAAAATGTAAAAGTGGTCAAATGGATTTCCCAACAGGACGTCCTAGCTCATAAAAAGTTGCGCCTGTTCGTGTCACATGGAGGAATGCAGTCATATTTGGAGGCTGCATTTCACGCCGTTCCCGTCGTATTTTTACCAATTTATGCCGATCAAGCCTTTGCAGCAGCGCATGTGCGAATGATTGGCAACGGAGTGGCGGTAGAACTTCTGGATGTGACGGCGGCTAGTTTAAAAGACGCGATTAGGGAGGTGCTTAGTAATCCGAGGTATTTTAAATACTAGGAGTTTTTACATGTTTTGAACACTTTATAAATGAATGTCGAATTGTATTCACAGATACAAAGCCAAAGCGAACGAGTTGTCCGTAATATTTAAGGATCAGCCTGAGAGTCCGTTGAAAAGAGCGGTTTTCTGGACGGAATATGTCATCCGGCATAAGGGTGCAAAACATTTGAGATCCGCGGCAAGAAAACTTAACTACTTGCAGTACCATGACATTGATTTGGTCGTATTTATATTTGCAATGTCTGTGTTTCCAGCTTGGGTAATTGTTAAATATAAGGAAAAATTTGCAGTAGTTTATCTTGGGATGGTTGGACTTATCATGGTACTTATTGCACGGTTTATTGGTTATAACTTGTTTATAGATTTATCCATTAATTAGTTAGTAAAGTAAATAAATAAACATAACGGGGCCGCCGCGTAATAATTATTTGGAGAAACGGGAGCTGAAAGTTTTGGTTTCAGGGAATTCAATATGCCTCAATATATACAGTATTTTCAAATAATTATTACCATTTGTACCGATATATTACATACGTACACAGTAAAAATTCGTGGTAACCCTTTTTTGTGTAAAAATGACTCCAACACTGTGCATTGTAAATGGTATTCCACAAAGAGTAAAGTTCTCAATGCAGTGTGGTGTTAACCCACGAGTGACAGGGTGCCGAGTAAATCTTGGTTTACTTACTCGTCCCCGTGTTAATATTACCCATGCACTAGTTATGCCACTGTGACTTACTCTCCACGGAGTAAAAGGCAGCAACGGGCGGGCAACGGGAGAAGCTTTGTCAGTTCATCACTCTCCACTATACTCTCCAGAATAATTTTGTACTTTTTCTGACTGTTAGAAATTTAATAATTCTGCATTGTTTAGATAAATAATTAAGAACAGTTAGTTAGCCGTGGTCCCATATTCTTTAATAAACAACTTTCCAATGATGTCTAGTTTTATTGAAATAAAACGACTGTTGGAGCAGTGTAATTTGAGCGATTACTTCCAGAAGTTCCAAGGTCAGTTTTTATAATTTTTTGGAGGCTGGAAATCATTGTTGCTAAATATTTATTGTTTTATTTTTCAGATAACCACATCTCTGATGACACTTTGTCGACGTTGGAAAAGACCGACCTGGTTGAAATTGTACCGAGCATTGGACATCGCTCTAAACTTTGGACAGCAATTAAGAAAATAAATGAGGGTCAAATTTATGTATGTTTTAAATGTCCAAATTCCTTTAAAACTTTAAATTGTTTATCGTCGCATTTAAAATCAAAACATCAGGTTAAAGGGGAGAGCGAGGATTACCGCTGCCCACATTGTAGTGGTCATTTTCAAAGAAGGGCATATTTTAACCATTTTAGAAATGTTTTCAAATTTCACCCTAATTTACTCCAACTTAATAATTTAGCAATAGATTCGGAAGTAGAATACCAGGGAGCATATGAGAGGGTTGAAAGGGACTCAAATTGTTTACAAAAAAAATCAATCCTATCAATGCCAACGAAGATTATGGAATTGGAGTTATCAATATCTAAACTTTATGCTTGTATCTTAGAATCAGGAAAGATTTCGATGGTAGCCAGTAAGAAGATAATCTCAGCAGTAAAGGAAAGTATTAGTAAGGTTATAGAAACATGCCAACCCCAGTAACAAAGCACATATAAATGATATCGCAAACTTGACATCTGGGGACATAAGACGATATCGAAAATCAAATATAGATGCGATATTATTCTAATGTAATCTAGATTACATGCCACGCCATTTTGTAATAATTATGCCCACTGAAATACGTAAATATGATGTTACAAATTATATGTCGCCTGGATATCGGATTAATGAACGAAAATGTCATTCACAAGACTTTGTAATATTTCCAACATAGTTAATACATTGCAGGAACACATTATATCTACATCACCAAACAACATAGAAGGTATATCAATTCTATATTCCCCCCACACGCGCATCCACACCGCGCATTCCCCTTCAGTTTTCACCACCAGTTGTATTTCGGTCGTGCTCCAGCACATTCGCTAAATTCCGTTCCAGGTTTTGCAGAATTTATTAGCAGGTACGTAATTTTAATTGTAATGTCAACAAATATAATTGGGCGACGACGCATACAGCAGTTGGCTCGTCAACAGGCACTTGTGACGACTCGGTGTCAAAATTTGAGTGAACAATTATCTTCAACAACGGAAGTAAACGTGTCTAAGGACACTTTAACAAACTCAGAACCAAACATTTTTCTTGAACATAATTCCCTACATATATTAAATGAACAAAATAATACTTCCAGTAGTTTGACAAACGATGCTGGTACTGCGGACTCTGTACTAAATGAAGTTAAAAAGTGGGCTTTAACATCCGGTGTGAATCAGAGTCAATTAAGTTCTCTTTTAAAGATTTTGAATCAGCATAACTGTTTTAGTACTTGGCCATCGGACAGTAGAACTCTGCTTAAGGGAAAATGCTTAAGAAACTATGATATTATTGACGTATTACCAGGCAAATATGTACATTTCGGATTGACTAATTATTTAGATAGCATTGTGAAAATAAAATATACAGGACAGTTAAAATTACAAATAAGTATTGACGGGCTGCCTCTATTTAATAGTAACTCTGTGAATCTGTGGCCTGTCTTAGGGCATTTTTCAAATTTTAGCAATAGTAAACCGTTCGTCATAGGAATCTATTGTGGATTAAAGAAGCCAACCAAAGTGGAAGATTTTCTAAACTTATTCATTGCAGAGTACAAGATAGCGCGATCTAAAAAGGACACTTTAATAATCAATTGTTTCGTGTGTGACACGCCAGCACGAGCATTTATAAAATGTGTGAAAGGACACAATGCGTACTTTGGTTGTGATAAGTGCTGTGTAGAGGGAAACTATTCTAATCATCGCATGAACTATTCAGACGTGGGAAGTAATCTCAGGACCGACGATAGCTTTAGGAATAAAATTGATGAAGATCATCATGTAGGGACTACTCCACTTTTACAAATAAGGGACCTTGACATGGTAAAATGCTTTCCACTCGACTACATGCACTTGGTTTGCTTAGGTGTGGTAAAAAAACTTTTAATTTTATGGACGCGTGGGAAACCGAAAACGCAGAAGTTATCAAGTTTTCAAATTAACGAAATATCAACAAAATTGGAAGGTTTCAGTAAAATAACTGCTAGTGAATTTTCCAGAAAACCAAGAACATTGAGCGAATTAGATAGATGGAAGGCCACAGAATTTCGTCAGTTTCTTTTGTATAGTGGTCCTGTCATTTTGGAAAATACTTTAGTGAAAGAAAATTATTTAATGTTCATAAGTTTATCTATATCTATTCGAATTTTATGCTCTGAAAAACACTATTTAAAATATAATGATTACGCTCACAAGTTGCTCTTGTATTTTGTTCAAACTTTTAAACGACTTTACGGCGAGGATTATATTTCTTACAATATTCACGGACTCGTTCATTTAGCTGCCGATGCTAAAAATCTTGGTGCTTTGGACACTTTTAGTGCCTTTAAGTTTGAGCACAAATTGGGAAAAATAAAGAAATTAGTAAAATCTCCTAACCGTCCCCTACAGCAAATTGTCAACAGGCTAAAAGAACAGGAATTTATTATTAAATTTTCAAGTGACAGTTATAAGCTATCAAAGTTGCATAATAATGGCCCCTTAATAAGTAAAGTGAACGATACAAAACAGTACCGGTGTTATCAAACTGCTAAACTTATAATTAATTGCGATTTTTTAAGGGATTCCTTTCTATTAACCAAGTCAGGGGAGTTAATTCAAGTATTTAATATTTTACAACATACTTGTTCAAATAAAATTCAGTGCGTCGCAAAAAGTGTGAAAAATGTCAGCCCCTATTTTACCGAACCAATTGACTCATCGCTCTTCGACATTTATCGTGCTGACCTAAATAATTGTGGCGAATTAAAATTAGTGGACATCTCCGATATTATGAATAAGTGCCAAATTTACAATATTGCAGGTTCTCAAAGTGCAATATTTGGACTAATTCACGCTGAACTTAGCAAGTAAATATGTACTACATTGTTGAATTTACTGCCTCCTCAAAATTATTCGTCGAAGCTGTCCCACAGCATTGGTTCGACAACGGACAGGTGGCTTATCCAAAAACAAAAAATGCACGGCAGTGTATCAGTTCTAATAAAGTTGTGGAGCCGGCGTGGCCTCGATACCCTGCTAGGATTTTACATGCCTACCGCAAGTTTTTATCAGATTTACTAGTTTTTTGGAATTATCTTGCTTTGTAAAATTATATTTAAAAAGTATACACTTTCTTCTTACAGCCACATTGAAGGAAGCAATGGCAAAATTGAATGCAGCTGTAGAAAATTCAGATTTATCCTCAGCCGAGGGAGATGATACCAAAACTCGGACACGAAAAAATCCAACTATTCGGAACGACTTGGATTCATCGGATGAAGGTAATGCTTAAAATGATTGTAATATTTAACATTTTTTCAATGTGTTTATATGTGTAAAATATTCGAAGAAGTTGACTTATTTCGTTCTATATTTCAGAGAGGACGAAGGAGAGGACACCGCCATCAGTTCTGAGTGGATTCCCACGATTGGAGCAAGTTCGACAAGACAAGTCAATTGAAATTGAATCCATCAATGACGAAGCAGTCGCATTTGGACAAGGTGTAGATGCACGTGGAGAAGAAGTATACGCTGTTCGTAATGGTAGGTTGTGTAATAATTGACCACTTGTAATTGACATATAATTTTTATTTTTTGTTGTTAAATTTTGTAGACCAAACTACGCAAGATGATATGATAAGTCAGGCTAGTTCCAGTCAAGGCGTTGGAAATATTATACTTGAAATTCCTGCTGGGTGGGTGAATACTGGCGCTAATTTGGCGGATGGGAATGATGAGGATTTGAGTGCAACTGATCAGCAGGTTCCAGTGCTAGTGACAATTGAAAAAGGTGTATTCTTTAATCCGAATTATTAAAATAAGTCTCACAAATATTTCAATTCTAACTATTACTTGTCATTTTTAGAATTCTTGGTAAGACTCCAGCAAGACATATCCATGATTAAATACTCACTGTCGAATCTGGAGAGGAAATTTGATAATTTGTCAGCACACAATGGCATTGAGAAATCTGCTCGAGCAAGTCTTGTCATTCCCCGTCCGTTCGAAAGTTGGGAACAATTTAAGGAATTTGACGAAACTTTAAATGATGATCTTTCAGTCAAAGTGGTAAATTCATAGGAAAAATACAAGAATTCGGAATAATATATAATCATGAAGTGACAAATTTAATTTTAATATCTGTTTATATCTAGAAATTGCAGTTTGCGCGCTATGCTGAAAGTAAGCTAACAGAAAACGTGTACAAAATATTACGAAATTTGTTTACCGATCTGGCTGCCACGAAGATAAGCTTTAAAGGACAGAAGGGCAATTTCGACTTTTCCAATACCAATATGAAACAACTTGTGTTTGGTAAAAATTTAGCTTTAGTAACTATTTTGTGAGTAACCAGTATTTAAGTTTATATTAACTAAGTGTTGTTTCTCAGATTCCGTCTTTGCAAACGACAAGTATCTGAAAACTGAGAGGGATATTGAGAAGACCATCATTGCTTGGTTTCAACACGCCGGAGGACGCCTAAAGAAGCACGTGACTGCCAAAAATCCTCGAAAACTTTAAAATATGTTATTATTTTGAAAACATAATTATTACTTTGCGAATAAAAAATACGCCTAATGAAATTCAAGCAAGAAACCGATGTATTTTGTATATCATATGATCATAGAATTCACATCGAAAGTCAATAATATAAGCACATTATAAAAACATCGCCGAGACATCGTACATATATAGTTAATATATCGAGTTAATGTAGAATATCTCTCTAAATGTCATGAGCTGGCGATGTCGCTATTTCGATATTGTTAAAATGTACCCTCATTGATATCGTCAAATGTTGGCCTAGAGCGAAATCTGCTCATGCTGGTGACCAAGTTTCGACTTTGTGCGACATATGGGGATATCCTAGCGACATTATTATGTAATCATTATAATGTAAATATGACATAATTTTTACATCTTTTTGTTACTGGGGAAGGGTTGGCAGGACAGGAAATTCAGGATAAATTTCCAAGTGGAGGTTCAAACTGCAATTTTTCTAAAATGAATTCCTTATTGTCAGTATTCGATAAATTTAGCAGCCAATTTAAGATGGACAAATATCTTTTTAATAACAATTTAATTATTCCACCATCTGAAATAGTCCTTGATAGTGATATTTATTTTCATGCTCTCCCTGACGGCAGCAGAGGTCAAGGTTATAAATCGATAACAATGCAGTACATTTCCATCCGGTCTTCTATAATGCAATTGTTGAGCAAACCTGGGTTTTATGCAAATTTACAAGGTAGTAGGAAATATTTTAATGATGAATTTTATTCTTATTTTCGGAACGGAAAGCTGGCAAGCTCATTTCAAAATTACAAAGACGTTATATTTATAAATCTGTACTACGACGACGCCGAAGTTGCAAATCCTTTGGGCTCAAAAAGCGGAAAGCACAAACTTGCCAATTTTTACATTTCTATAATTGATTTGCCTGAGCACTATCAGTCTTAACTTGATAACATAATTTTGGTGGCGTCATTAAAATCTGCAGATTTAAAATTATCTTCTCCTAACTCCGTTTTAAAGGTAATTGTGAATGAGTTGGAAGATTTGTGGGCAAATGGCATTAACTTTAATAACAATGGTGAAGAAATATCTATTAAAGTTGCACTGGCTCAGGTTTGTGGGGACAATTTAGGCCTGCATTGCATACTTGGCTTTTCTGAAGGATTTAACGCAAATTGGCCTTGTCGTCGGTGTAAAATGCATAGAACCGCTTGTCAGGTTTCATGCAGTGAGGATAAATCTTTATTTAGAAATGTAGATAATTTTGAACTTGATCTTTCCAGAAACTGTCTTAGCGAAACCGGTATAAACTTTTCTTCTGTTTTGAATTCTTTGCCATATTATCACGTTACGTCAAATTTTGTTTTTGACATTATGCACGATTTGTTTAAAGGCGTAGTTCCGGATTTGTTTTACTTGGTTATCACACGCTTTATTAATTTAGGGAAGTTTTCTATCGACAAGTTAAATTACAGGTTAGAATCGTATGATTTCGGACGCCATTATAATAAGAGTAGGCCCTCTCAAATTAAATCGTCGTTTCTCAAGAGCGAGACGAAAGCAGGTCAGAATTCATCTCAGAATATTTGCTTAATTCTTTTTCTTCCCTTACTAATTGGGGATTTAATTGACCCAAATGACAAAGTTTGGTCATTACTTTTACTATTGCATGAAATAGTTCAGATGACGCTTAGTAATAACATTACCAAAGGAGGGATTATTTATCTTAATTCCATCATTTCTGAGTTTCTGCATAATTACCAGATTTTATTTAAGAAAAACCTGAAGCCCAAACATCACCACATGATTCATTATGGAAATGCAATAGAACAGATAGGACCGCTCCGTGGTGTCTGGAGCATGCATTTTGAAGCGAGGCACAAATTTTTCAAGACAACGGCACATGCAATTGGAAATTTCAAAAATATATCAAAAACTTTAGCGTATCGTTTCCAATTATCCCGCTGCTTTAAATTAATTGGTATCGATAAATTTTCGCCAGAAACATTCGACTATAGTGCAATTGAGTTTGTTTCGTTAGATAGTGTTCCGGATTGTGAGGTAGTTAAAGGACATTTCTTGAAAGACAATTGTGACACAATTGGGCTCATGACTAAAATAAATAAGAACGGTTCAGATTTTCATCTGGGAGGATTTGTATTACTTAAATATTGTAGCCAGTTTCCTATATTTGGACGTATTAAGTCAATTTTAGTTGAAGATGATGAATTTTACTTTTTGGTGGAACAGTTTAATAGCAAAATAGACACTCACTTCGCAAGTTATGAGTTAAAACAGTCAGGTGTTTTGCAAATTATTCATATAACTGATGTAGCTTTTTATCAATGTTTCTATCCCTCAATTACTTTCTGCAACGATACAAATATGTACATAGTATTACCTGTAAAATTTGTTTAAAACTTACTTGTGGATAATAATAATTTATTCACATATGTATGTAGATTTAATTTAGCCAGTAATTTAGCGTTTAATTAAATTTAAATATATAAGCGATGCAAATTTTCTTATGATAAGCCGGGGTCACAATCTTCATGGTTCAGTGGGTCCCTCATAAGTGAATCGGAACTAGCAGATCGTGGACTGAATATGCCACTTCATCTGCTAAAGAAACCTATCGAAAATCGCACGCCAGCTCTAATACCGATTAATAACGGCGACGCCAATAAAGTTCTTCCATCGCTGTCGACGCCAGAGATTTTGGTTAGACCATAATAAATATGTACTATAAATTGTGTGCAAACTTGCATGTAAGTTGACAATGGAAAGCATCAATTTAATTAATTTGCATATTTATTTTACAGGGGCCCTCGTTTGAAAAAACTACGACGGTTAATGTCCCGATCAATTCTCAGACAATTCAAATTCTCCCGCAGGCTACTAATTCGTTTGAACCGATTACCGTTAATCTCTACGATTCATATTTTATTGTAAATCAGTCTGACACACAAGCATCCGCTCATACGTCCCCGAGTTTCGTACGTAAGCCGAGACAAATCGTGGACCCTTCAAAGAAGTATTACGCTTTTGTGAGTTATCTTTTTTGCTTTAAAACTAGTTGTTTATTCACAATTTCACGGGTGATCACAATTTATTAATATAAATTATGATTCAGGAGCTGAGCAGTGTTCTTAACATGAATGAAGGCGTACGCAGACTGATCGAACAAAAACTCTCGTCGTCGTTAAGATCGTCATTTATTTTACGAGGTGACCGCCAGCTTGTTGTGAACTGTATTATTGATGCTGTAATCCGTATTCTAGGAGTTTAATATGGAGATACATATGTGTATATGAATATTTAAAACAATCAAGGCATTTACATAATTCAAATTTATTTTTTGTTTCCTTTTCGCAGTCCAAGTAAGCAAGCCCTAGAACAGTTGGCAAGAGATCTTGTTAATATTTATCCTGCGCTTGGGGACCCTCGTCGGGCAGGGAATAGCTGGGAGATGTACTACTTTAATTCGAATCAAGGGTTCGGTCCGACTGGATTTTTTGATTAAAAAATCAGCGCAAGAAGAAGGATAATTTAAAACAATTAAATTCAATAAGTGAACCGGATTTGGTATCACAAGACTGGGATTCAGAGAATGAAGATGGTATTAGAATTAATTTGATTTACATATATTTATGCATTAGCTAAATAACATTTATGATTATTTTGTTTTAGATAATCCCGAACCAGATGAGAAAGTATTGGAATTCTTGCGGCAGAATAGAGGGACCGAAATAATTGAAACAATGAAGTCAACAGTATTCATGCGCCGCACTGTGATTCGAAAATTTGGCGAAACTCTCGTAGGATTCCGAAAAATTCCGTCCATTATTCCGCGTCTATTTGACATGGAGGGAATGGTACTAAGCTTGCTTTAGATATGAATTCGGGTGCTCAAGGAAATTGCACCAATTTTACGATTTTGTACAGATTGTTCAGGATTTCAATGCTCGCCATCCCTTTTTGTCGCTTATCGTGTACGATAGGTGGCCAGCTGTGTCCAAGCTACTTTTACGCTATGCAGAGGAAAGTGGAATAGATTACGGGAAAAAGCTGGGTGTAAAAATTCCACGATGTGACTTATCTGACGGTAAAATTCCTAGACCTAATTCTTTTGATTGTTTTGCAATACTAAATATATGAATTCCAATTTCAGATCATATTGCTATAATTGCGTACAGCTTGCTCCCGTATATCCTTCCATCGTGGGCAAGGAAAATTGCAAGTTTTGACGATTCTACTGTTCAAGATGACTCGACCGATTCTACTCCTCCAAAGCCTAAACGCAGTCGAAAAACCGTGAAAGCATCGGATTTGGATTCTAGAAACAGTTTGATTGTGTTTCGATCGGTATGTGAAAAACGTTATTTAATTTTAGCCCACAATAAAATTTAAAAATTTGAAACTTTATAATTTTCAGAAAAATACTCACGTTGCTGACGTCTTAAAAGAAAACGTTAATGCAGCTCCGCACATTTTGGCCCTTGGATCTACGTTCGATCTCAAGATTGAAGATTACTTTGTAATTATAGATAAATATGCAATTCCCTGTGGATCAAGTTTCTTAATAGCTTTAGACACCTGTTTAAAATCATTTACCGTGTTTTATCTCCCACCACCAGTGGAATCTAAAAATTTGTGGTTATTTGTAATTCATGGTGTAGCTGGTAAACCAACTTCAAATGTTATTTTAACCCCTATTGTTCAAGCCCTAATTGGGCAGATAATGTCGCGTTTTTAATAATTTTGTGAACTAATTTTACTATTTAATATAGTTATGGGTAGTTAAAAACAGAAATAACTTTCAATTGTTAGTCACACTTTTCTTACACCTGATTAAATACGGAGTTTTTAATTGAATTTAACATTAATTGTCCGTTCATTTAGGCATGCATTGCACGGATAACTCAACATCAGTAAAAGTAACTCTGTACTCGACAAAGAGCTAACGCGCTACCTAGTTGACGGTTAACCCCGTCACGAGCTATACGCAACTCTGTGCGGGGTTAGCTACCAACTCGCTCAGGGTAAAGCTGGTTACCCTTTGGAAAATTCGCTCGGTTTACACTGCACAGCGTGGAATCACTTTCAAGTCCGTACGGTACTGTATTTTACTCTGCACGGACTTAAAAATTTTTGCTGTGTATGTACATAGTGGGGTCATAAGTTCTCGTGAATGCATTTCCGGTAATAAATCCCAAAGTATTAGAGCTATCTATTCGAAATTTTTATGGATTAACAAGGTATTAATATTGTTTAGAAATCATAACTTCTTTGTCAAGATTTCGTCCACGGGCAATTAGACAAGACATAACTCGTGACGGCCACAGGTTGATCGTGGTACGCGCCAATTTTCGTGCAAAAAGTATTTCAGACTTTTCACCGTTGGCAAAAAATTTAATAGAAAAAAAGGCCAGATATTTGTTGTACAGAAGTCTGACATCCGTTTAAGTATGCGGAAGTCAATACGAAGTCATCACCGTGGTGTGCATGGGAGCAAGTTGGCTGGAGAAATGAAATATCTGTTTTTTTACCGCAAAGGGTACAAGTTGAAGCCAAGAATTATTTTCAGAGTGTCCTAAAGCCAAACGTTAATAACCTGAACCCTGGACCCTCCGAAAATCGACATTGGACGTTTCAACAAGACCCTGTTCCTGCGCAAGGTGCAAAATTGTCCAAAACTGGCTTCAGACGAATTTTCATGACTTTTTTTCATCCGTAGAACGGTGCTCAGTATCTGCAGACCTTAATCCCCTAAATTATGACTGGTGGTGAAAATTATAGGTACAAGTATGCTCTAAATTTCACCCAAGTGTGGAAGGGCTGAGGTCGCACTTACTGAAGATCTGGCGCTTTTCCCTGGAAATCCGTGCGTGCCGCGATCGAACAGTTTTCGCCACGACTTATGTCTTGTGCACAAGCCCGTGGAGGAAATTGTGAAAACGAAGTTATGATTTCTAAACAAGATTAATACCTTGTTCATCCACAAAAATTTCTATCAGATAGCTCTAATACTTTGGGCTTTATCACCGGAAATGCATTCACGGGAACTTATGGTCGGACTATGTATGTACATATGTGCAAGTTACAGATACATACCGAAATAAATTAAATATGTGCTTAACATAATTATGAACAGAATCATTTAGTTCTCCATTTTACAATGCCCAATGCGAAGTGGAGTCACCTACGTATCGGAAACGGTTTCCTTTTATTTAAATGTAAGTAGCATGTCCGTCGTGCCATTGACGATCGACATGAGGTACGTTGTAAGCAGGCTTCTGTCTGTATGATAGAAATAAAAGTCGTTAATCCCCGCGTAGTAGCGAAATGGTCGCATTGATTTCAGTTTCCTCTTAAAATACTTGTCATTTCCGACTTGATTTGCCCAATTCTTAAGAAGCAGCTTCGTCCTCTCGTGAATTTTAATTGCGCAAGGCAAGAGGAGGAGAACTATTGTCATGACGACGACAAATGTGATTGGATACAGGTAATAATAGTGTCCAATTTTTGCCACGCTGAGTCGTATGCAGCTGTAATTAATGTTAAGCATTAGTAAGAGGCCCATTGTCATGAGGCCAAACACGCCGTTGGATATGGGGCTTTGAACGGCTGAGTGGATTAGGTGCATATGAGTGAAATGGATGACCGGCTGTTGAATTTGATATCTAGAAAAAAAATTACGTGAAACAACCTCTATCAGAGACAGAAATGGCGGCACATACTTAATTGATCCTAGGAAATTCCAAGTTATTAGAGAGTTTGCGCAAAAGTGTGATTTTTTGTGATAGAGAGCAGAGAAAAAGTATTGAGACACTAGGACATTAGTCCTATCATAGTTCAAAATCTGATTATTAAAGTTTCAAATTTTTGTTAAATCTGCTAAATATATCTGACGTGACATATCCGCGGACAAAAAAGCCTTCAATCCATTGGCCATCTCGTATTTTACATTTTTCTTCGCGTCCGCCGTTAATGCTTTTTTATAAGACTTTACAACTTTATTATTAATTTTCACAAACCAGAACCGAAATTTTGTTAAAGTATCGACTGTTTCACAAAGCTTGGGGTATTTCTTCTTGCAGAAAGTTTAAATTCTTTTTTGGGGGTAAAGATGTTGGGCGTTTGAAAGACTTTCATCTCCCAACCCCAAACTGATATTTTTGTCAATTTCTTCCTTGGTAGTTAGTGCATGGTGGATGATAGCAAGGTCGGACCAAAAAATTACATTTTGTGTTTTATGATACTCCTTGATGAAAGGAATCAGACGGCCTATCACACATTTCTGAAAATAAATCTGTGTACCCCCACAGCCCTGGCTAATTTAAGGGTCCCAAACATGCCCAAATTGGCCCAATCCTTGCCAAATCTGAGATTATTTGAAAAATTTCGAAGAAAATTTTAATTTCTCTTCGTTTTTGAGTTGAGAGATATATTTCCCATGAAAAAATTGCCTTTCCGGAGTTTCTGTCACGTTTTTGAAGACGTGGGACTCGTCGCTAATGACTAACTGTTTTGGTGAAATTTTGTTGTAAAGCGTGGGAGGTCTTGCGTTAATCATTTATTCTTGACCTTCCATATATTTTGGTGCATATTTTTTTGCATACGCTTTGACCCACAATTTATGGGCCTTAATATAATACAAATAGTTTGTATGAATCTTTCACCTTTTTGGTCGCATCAGGCACGGACGTGGAACGACATTTTCAAAAAATAAGTTTAATCGCCTTTAACTTTCGCGGGGTCGACATGATGTTTTTTTCTCATAGTGGCTTTTTGAAGTTGACATTTTCGAATTCTTCACACTTTTTTATGTATGTTTTAATTTTTGCACGGCCAGAATTTTCTTCTTTGAAATGTAATCAACTGTTCTCCGAGTCTTTGTAACTCAAATTTTGGTACTTACAAAAAATCGTTTCTCGACTTCCTCGCTTTGAAGTTGCGTATGAAATTTATTGTTCATGGAAACCTTATGAAATTTTTGTCACGTGTGGCTGGATATATTCAGCATATTCTATACAAATTTCGGATTCCTATAACCACTTTTGACCACTTTCCTACTAAGACAACCAAGTGTCTCAATACTTTTTCTCTGCTCTCTAGTTATTGTCGCATCGATTTGAAATATATTGATGAACGTTCATAAAATACGTAGGTAACACATCGGAGTAAGATTTGCGGGACGGACTTATTTCTACGCTACGGGTGAACTTGCCCCAAATCTTAAAAAGGGGGCGTAACCTGTTATGAGGGGGAGAGAGGGCTAAAAAATCACCAATTTAGCGTTATATTTTGTGAACGATCCATTATAGGTTGTCGATCTATGTAAGTAGAATAAAAATTATCACCAGAATCACAAAAAATTACTCTTTCTCAATCTCTCTATTGTTATTGCATATTGGACAGAATTTTCTACAAGGATACGGAGCCGGACACGTACCTTCTCCTAATCGAAAGGTTGGCCCAAATGGCCACGCATCTGCGGATTAGTTGAACAGGAAATCCCATGATATAGACAAGGAATGGAATTGTTCTGCACGATTCAGCAAACAAAATGTATGACAAAACAAATCGGATTGTTACAGTTAACACCCAATTTAGTATGTCAGAATGCACGACTTCTTCCAGAAATATGTTGTACACATCCGTCTTGGCGACGAATATAAGCTGGGTAACCATCGGTAAGGGAATGAAGGGTATGACGTTTAACCCGATAAGAGCAAACAGACCTACATATGTATTAAAAACATTAAGGTAAGTATTTTATTTGCACGCTGTTAGAAATCTGGGATAGTCGTATTCATTTTGGAGGTATTCAGGTTGCTTATCAACTTTACTTCCCCAAAAATTTGCCACCGATATGATAAAACTTTAATAGCAAACAACACTTATCAATTGGTTATCAATACCATTTGGGTGGACTCATATTTACACGTAGGTATGCAATGCTTGGTATTATTCTTTTAATACTGGATTTCTAAGAGTGCATTTTCGGTTCGCATAAATTATGCATAGCTTATTAGCGAAACCAACCTAATCGATCCAGAGTTCCGTCTTGATATCGAAAACTTGCAATTTTATGCCCAAAGAGGATCGTATCCTTCGGTTTGTCGGCAAGTTTGCCTGGAAGTACATAAATACATTGTAAACAGACAAACATAATTTTAGCATATATGTATAAACGCGTGCACATTTAATTAAATCCAAATTTCTAAAAATGGAAGTTCCCCAACGCTTGCTGTTAGATTTTTATTAAACTAGTCTCAATCTACCCCAAATTTTAATTAGTATGACACTTGCAAAAGATACAATCCTGCATTGTGCTGATTTTATAGAGATTGTTGCATCCAAAAAGGAAAAGACGAGTCTTAACGGTGAAAAGTTTGCACGTTCCGAATTTACTGCGTATTTTCTCCTCTTCAGATACGAATACAAATATGTATGCATCTCTGCCATTTTGAGATGGTACTTTTTTACTAATTTCATACTAATTAAATTCGCGATCGACTGACACTAGCTTGGCAAAAGTCTAACAGCATATTTATTACGCTGGGAGACGCCTATTGTAACTTTACCCAACAGTAAATTCATGTGCTTACATGGTTTGGGAAAGATGATAATATCGCCATACAGGTCACGAATATTGTTCAAGATTGGAATTATGAGATCACAATACTTGTAAATTCCGATAGCTATCATGACCAGAAGTGTGCCAGTCATCAAAACTCCGACCACGTTGGTGCCCTGTTCGCCTGTGAGTGGCGTCGTCCTAGTTCCAGAAACATGTCGGTACAGGATGTACACACAGATTCCATTGGTGAAGAGGATATATACGAAAAATATGACGAAATACCACCAAA